CCACGTGCTCAGGTACCGTCCCGCAGGCACAGAGGCGCTTGCTTTGTACGAAGTACCCACGCAGCGGTCGTTGGCCGCTCTTCTAACCGTTAAGCCTGAGAAAAGCGGCCAACCTATTCTTCTGACCGCGCGGTACCTACCTAGGTAGGTAGGTGCCTTACCTAACTTACCCCAGTTGTTCACGGTAGCTAAGGCAAGGTACCTAACGTTGGTTGAGCTCGCGACCAGTCGGTGGAACACGTGGTGCACGACCCTTCGAAGTACCTTAAGGTACTTCGAAAGATACGGAGTACTTCCTTCGTATGCGGAGCACACCCCATTCCATCTCTCCAACACCAACCTCATACCCTTCCTCCAAGTTGTCCAACAACCTCCCGGCGAGGTTTCGATGTGACTGCGGAAAGTCACTCATCTTTGGCCCCCATTTGCCTCGACCCGCTCATTACCCTTCAACTCGAGTGCTAGCTGGACCTCACTTCTGCGGAGCCACGTGGGTTACAGACACGCAGAGCCCGTGTTGCTTGCTTTCTCTCGAGTCTTTACAAGCCTCGCTCGGAGAGAGCAGAGGTCATCCCCGCCCCCTGCCGCATTCCACCCATAAGTATGGATGGCTTCCTCAACTTTTTTCCCGAGAAGGCCCATCGGGTCGCCGGCCGCCTGGCTAAAGTCCCTCCTCATCGTTGCTAGTTTCCTCATCTTTGTCCAACTTGCCCTCCCCCATATCATGGCGCCCAAGGCTTCCACTCTGTTGGCCGGCCTTGCTGTCTTCGGCACCGGCACCGGCAGCAGCGCCGGCGGTGTCGTGAATGCAGCTGGTGGTGTTGGTCTGAGCTGGTACGCGCCCGCTCGCACAGAGGTCAATAATCTGACCACCGTGATCAACGACAAGGGTGTCTGGGGTTTCATTTATGACACCTCGGAGACTCCCGACGACAGGTACGGGCAGTACAACTGGTGCAACATGCCGCATGTGCGCAAGACGGAGTATGTGAAGCCGTCGGATGAGTACGAGCTCAAGTACGTGGAATTAGTGAGTAAACGAACCGAACCCCTTTCTACTGCTTCCTTTTCCATTTCCTCTTCCTCTTGCTCAAACACTGATTTGTCCATGAGGTTCACCGCCACCACAAACGCACGCCCTACGCCTCCAACGCCTTCCCCGTGGAGCCGTACCAGTGGAACTGCGACGACCAAGGACTCTTCTATTACGGCGAGCCCTTTGCCAGCAGCAACAAGCCGGCAAAGACCTACTGGAAGGTCTACATCTCCCCCGTCAATCCCTTCGTCCCCGCGGGCTGGATAGGAACCTGCCAGTTTCCCCAGATCACCGCCCAGGGCCTCGACGACTCCTGGGTTCACGGCGCCGACCTCTACGGCGTCTACCACGATCTCCTAGGCTTCATCCCCGGCCATGACACCGTCAACTCGCCCGAGTGGCACCGCAAGATCAAGTACCGCGTCACCAACAACCAAATCACCAGCCAGGTCGCCGGCATGGTCGTCAACGGCATGTGGGCCGCCACCGACTCCCTCCAGCTCAACATCCAGGCCGCCGGCGTCGACTCCCTCGAACCGCAGTACCCCTGCCCCGCCGGCTACGCCCTCTTCAACCGCATAAAATCCGCCTCCAACGCCGCCTGGGCCCAGCACCTCGCCGCCGCCGGCCCCCTCTACGCCGTTCTCGACGACATCTCGGGCGTCCCCGCCGACGACGAGGGCTTCCACGCCTCGCTGGACCACTACTACGACAACCTCTCCGCCCGCCAGTGCCACGACAAGCCCTTCCCCTGCAAGCTCGTCGGCGGCGCCAACTCCACCACCTGCGTCACGCAGGACCTTGCCGACGCCGCCTACCGCCTGGGCCACTGGGAGTACTCCCAGCTCTACCGCGACAGCCCCGACTCCCTCGCCGCCAGCGTCGCGGCGTGGGGCGTCTGGGTCGCCGAGCTCGCCGTCCACCTGCGCGCCGTCGTCGACGGCACGAGCGAGACAATCTACTTCCACAACGTCGCGCACGACGGCTCCGTCTCGCGGCTGCTGTCTATCCTGCAGCTCGACCACATGGTCTGGCCCGGCATGGGCTCCGAGGTCGTCTTTGAGCTGTACAAGAAGCGCGGGGCGGACGACGGCGGCGAAGGCGGCGCCGCCAAGAGCCCTCCCGCGGCCACATCCACATCCACGCCTGGCTCGGTTGAGAGTGGCTGGTACGTCAGAGTCCTCTGGGGCGGCCAGGTCCTCAAGTCGTCCCATCCGGCACTGGGCCTGATGGATATGGTACCCGTCGAGACGCTGCTGTCGTACTTTGATGGGTTGGTAGGAGAGAACGCCAGCCTGATCAAGGGCAAATGCGCGTCTTGAGCGTTCTGTGTGGTGCTCATATGGTTCGCCGGGAAGTGGCCATCCCCTTCTCAGCACGTAGAAACGCCCAGTGTATACTTAGCTCGCCGCCGTACCTAATACATAATGATAGTCGACCTTACCCCTCGTGGCGCCCCCGCTCGCTTTGGATCACTCAAGGTTTGAACATAGTATTTTCTCTTTGAGAGGCTAGAGTAGACTACACTCCTTCTCGAAGTCCGTCCAACGCCCATTACGCATAGGATCCAGCTGGCGCACTTTGGTCATCCACGTTTGTAATTCTTCCGTCTCTTCTTCGTTGAGCTCTCTTCCTTCAATACGCGGCAGCGCCCTCATGTAGTCCAGCAGCGCCTTGTATATCCACGTAATGTCATCGTAGTCTTCCAAAAGGTCCTTGATATCTTCAATCTCACGCCTCACGTAGGATGCCTTTTCCGTACTTGACAGACTCGGCGCGATCTTGAGCCGGCCATCTGGCTCGGTCATGTTCTGGACAAGGAAATGGTGGTAGAACCAGAGAGACTGGTCTTCTGGGCCCACGTTTAGTGCTTCACGGACGAGATCGAGTTCTGCTCTTCGTTAGCCGACTTCTCACTCGTAAACTCCATGAGAGTATGTATGTGTATAGGGTCATCCTTACCGTCTTCCAGAAACTTTTGCCGCGCCGCGTCGTCGGCGCCGCGCTCCTCTAGCAGGCGGGGTATCAGGTTGGAGCGGTTATGCCACGCCGAGAAGTTGGACAGGTCCGTGTTGATCATCTTTGTCGTGTACGCGAACTCGGCCTCGACCAGGCTCGTGCCGTCGAGCGCCGCGCTTTCGAGGGTGGCGACGACTTTGCGCCGGTAGCCCCAGGCGTGGAAATTGCGGCGGTCCTTGGTCAGCATCTTGGAGACCAGGCCGAGCTCCTCCTCCCATATGCGACGGGCGATGGGTTTGGGTAGTATATCGATAGCCTGCTGGAGGAGCCAGGAGCGGTATTTCCAGATCCAGTAGCTCTTTGGGAACTCCAGAAGGAGGGGGATCGTGAACATGAGCTCGTTCTTGAGGGTGTCGACCACCTTTTCGTCGTTGACCGGCGGCGGCGGCGGCAGCTGCTCATCAGCTGTTGTACCACTCTTCCCACTCCCTGGGACCGGTGGGGACGCGTGGCCTGGCGGGATCACGGTCGAGGAAGAGGGCGACGCAGCGGCGGAGGACGGAGGCGGAGTGCATGCTGCTGACGAACTCGCGGGCGGCGCCGACGGCGACGGCCCAGGCGAGGGTCTTGATAATGATCCACAGGTTAGGCAGCGCCTGCGGACGTTCCATGCCGTGTAGTGCTCCGGGTTCAGGCGCAGGAGCTTCGTGGTCAGGGCGAGGGTGGCCGGGTCGGCCGGGTCGGCGGGCCGCGGCGAGGCGCGGAGGAGGGCGTCTTCGAGGGCGCGGAGGTTGGCGATCTTTGCGAGGTCGGCCTGGAGCTGGGCTTCGGTTCGTGGTTTCCGGGCTGTGCGGGCTATGCCGTGCTGTTCGTTTTTGGATGGTGAGCTTTGTGAATATGGGAGGGAATGGGGCGTGTGTAGATGGTCTTGGCGGTTATGGGGTGTTTGGAGATGGGATGGAGATGTTGTTTGATGAATAGAGGGACGCTGGGTTGGGAGGTGGTGATACTTACGCTTTCCATGGGGATCTGAGGGGTGCTCTATGAGAGCGGGATGATCTGACAGGAAAAGGGAAGGTCGATCAGGGAGGACGGAGAGAAATTACAGTCTGCTCAAGGTCAAGTTTGGGGGCCGGGGGGTTGAAGGCGCTGCGAGCTCTGGGTGGCATGAAGCTGATACGGGAACTTGCGGCAGCGCGGGCGGCGCGCGCTAGAGCAGGGATTCCCCACTGCCCCGTCACGTCCCTCAAAGTACGTCAATTTAGCCAGTGGCCCGAGCTCCCGGTGAAGAAGACCCCGAGCACCGTCGTACGTACTTCCCCACGTGCTACCTGCCTAGGTAGGTTACCTATCTTAGATACCTTACGGTAAGGTACCTTATTACCACTTTCCTCGAGCAGTTGTCTTACACCTCCACTTGTTGCCTCATCACTGTAACAAAGCTGATCACGGACTAGGTACCTTATTCAAGGGCGAGTGCCAAGTCAGGCCTGAATGCATTTTTTTTTGTATGGCCTGGGTAATAGAGATGAAGGGCGTCTCGAAAATGAAAAGGCTGAACCTTACCACCCGGCCTGGAAGTCGAGGTCGTGTTCTTGGTTGGTTATCCAGACGGGAAATCAACAGCATCACCCCTCCTATTGCTTTCAGACTACGGGATAAAATCAGGCTTTCACCATTTTTCTTCCATCTTGTTGTTCAACACTCCCCCATGCTCCTAGTTGTTGCCCTAGTCCACACTTTCTGTTCCGCTACCACGTTATTCAGCTGTCGCACAAGACTGAGCTAGCCATGATCTGAATCGATTCGATCAGCTTTGGCCAGAGCTTAAAACCATCGCACCTGAGAAAGAACTGACCGAGCTGACCTGCACAGCTTCCTGTGACGACACTAGCTACTGACGTCTATACAATGACACACCGATCTACTTGGCCTCCTTTCCCTTGCTCTTCTTCTTCTTTCTCTTCACCATCCGCCCCCCTAAGAAATCATCTCTCCCTAGGACATGCATCGCTACATCCCTCGACGAGACGGAACTCCCCTCTCTGAAAAGATCCGCATGAAGCAAGACCATCAGCCACGGCCTACTACACCGCCTGCCTGCCGTCCCCTCCCCGCTCCCCTCTCCGTCGTTGGACCGTCGGTCTTGTCCCCAACTTCTTACAAGCGCCCCTCTCCGGCCTCGTCTACTCCCTGTAGACGAATTAGAACAAATTTCTTTGGGCCACGGCCGAAGGAAGAGGAGGAACACCAACGACACGAAGAGAGATTGGCTGAAGCCTTGGAGATCGATAAGGCTGCCAAGATCCTCGATTTCAGGGTTCGGCCGGCCCGAGCACTGAGGACAGAGTATACAACCCAGGCAATCGCATCTTCCACGGGTAAGTTGCGGTTTTCTGACGACCATATGTGCTTCATTAAGCTTACACTCCTTGTTAGACTCAACCAAATTACAACGCAGCCTGCCAGCGGCGCCGTACAAAGTCCTCCAAGCGCCGGGCCTCGAGGATGACTACTACCGCTCGCCCTTGGCCTACTCTTCTACCTGCCGATGCTTAGCTGTGGCTCTGGGAAACACCGTCTACCGATGGTCGGAATGGCATGATCCCCAGCCTGTCTACCGCACTCCTCACCAGCGACATACGAGCCTGACATCTCTGTCATTTTCCTCAACCGAGGGAAACAAGGCTATTCTGGCCTATGCACGCAAGGACGGTTACTTTGGTCTTCTGTCGTTCATTGACGAAATGCTTCCGCGGTTTTGGTTTCACCACCCGTTTCCGATCGAGTGTGTCAGCTAGCGGCCATCAGTGACGAAAAGACCATCCCAAAACCCCTTCATCTCGAGTGCTACAGTGCCAACAGAGGACCTTCTGGTTGGCGATGGTCGAGGAAACATCCTGCACTATATCGTTGAGTGGCCCAGCTTGTGGGAGGTATCCCGTGACACTTGGTTTGGTAAAGTGACGCCCGTTGCCAAGATTGCAGCGCATACCTCGCAGATTTGTGCACTAGTCTGGTCTCCCGATGGTCAAGACTTTGTTTCCGGGAGCAACGACAACACGGCCTGCTACTTTGAGATACAACGATTGGACAAACAGCACAGGGACCACAACTCATCCACGACTCAGACCCGTAAAAGCCGCCGGTCAAAAAGTGATTGGAGCCTGCCAGGAAGAGATAACATGTACTCTCGACCAAAATAGTATGAAACGAGCGGCAATGGATCGGGCCCTGGCGTGGAGACCATGTTCGACGTCACTCGGATAAGTACAACAATCGAGGCTGGTGTTATTGGAGGCATCCCTAGAACGATACAAGCGCCTACAGAGGACTTGCGAGTGTTCAAAAGAGGAATGGAAACGCACTGTTGGCGACATGAGGCTGCAATAAAGGCAATCGCATTCTGCCCCTGGCAGAACGAGCTCGTTGCCACTGGCGGCGGCTTGGGTGACAAGTGCATCCACTTCTTCCACACGACGTCTAGCACACCACTGGCCACCATCGATGTCGGTGCGCAGGTCACCTCATTGATCTGGTCTACGACACGGCGGGAAATAGCAGCTACGTTTGGCTACAGCCATGGCTATGCGCAAACCGAGCATCCATATCGTCTCATTGTCTTCAGCTGGCCGTCTTGTCGGCAAGTCGGAGCTATTGCTTGGGCGGGTGGCCCACGGGCCTTATACGCCATTCCGTACCCAGGAGGACCATCAGATGCACTCAAGGGAAGTCGTACGGCAAAAGAAGGAACTATTGTCGTGGCATCGAGCGACGAGACTCTCAAGTTTCATGAAGTCTGGCAGGACAAGCCAAAATCGACTACCGGAGGCGCCGTTGGGATGTTGGGCGGTAGTGACATTCTCGAGGCACTTGGTGGGATCGATAAGGATGGAGACGTCATTCGATAAATCGCGAGAGGAGATAGCTGCTTGCTTCAAGGAATCATCAAGTTTACAAGTAATTTCAAGTCGTGTCACATGAAGTATTCGTCCCGTTGACACACTACTAAAGCCCTAGTTACATACAAAGATGGAGTGCATGCATCATCAACCTGGAAGGTCGACGTGGACAACACGCAAAGCACTGCAGTTCTAGGCCCCCATTTACTCAGCTAGTTAGGTGACCCCGAACCACCGGAGGCGCTAATACCCCAGGCACCCTTGAAAGCATACCGACTCAACGACCCCTGTCACTGCGGCGCCGCCTACACAGAAACGTAACTCACAGTCCTTGTTGCGGACGACCTGACGTCCTGAGCGCTTGTCTCACACCCCCCGTCTCCGTCCATCCCCCCCGTTCCCCAGCGCATGAACACCTCCAAAACCTCCCCCAAATCCGCAACCACTCCGGACCATTCAGGAACAACGTTTGCACCCATCGTCATCCCTTCCAATCTAAATCTCCTGCTTGTGAACTCTGCCATCCACTACGAGCATCGGTCGGCAATCGTAACACACACATACACCTCACGGGAAATAAACTCCAAAATCTATTCCCACAGAGACATTCGCAACTACACAACAGACCAAGAACATGTCCACCCTGAACCAGCTTTACCTGCTCGCCGACCACGTCAAGCTCTCCCTCCTGGAGCGCCAGCGCGCCCTGTCGCTCAACCTCGACGCCGACACCCAGGACGGACACATCTCTCGCTCGCTCGACCAATTCAAAGATGGCCTGGAAGCATTAGACGCCGAGGCCAAGCGCCTGCAGGGTACCGGCGATGAGAGGTGAGCTTCCTCCTCCTTTGGCCCTGTCCCCTTACCTATACGACGGAATCCTCCAGAACCGACGTTCATGCCGGAATTTTCTCCGAATTCTGCGCGAGAGCATCGTGGCCCATTTTCTGTGCGTTATACGGTATGCTAATCTGGACGCTACTTCCCGCAGCGCCGCCCTGAACATCACCGACTCCCTCCCCGCGCTGCAGAAGCAATTCTCAGACCTGACCTCCCAATTCCACGGGTTCTCGAACCCCTCCACCTCCTCCACCACAACCTCGCCAAACGACCCCTCCCTCGCCGCCGACTTTGACGCCGCCCAGTCCACGAAACCCCTCAAGGGCTCCCTTCGGGGCCTCCCCGGCGGTGCCGCCGCCGCAAACAACAGCAAGACCGTCCGCTTCACCGATTCCCCCGGCGCCGCAGCAGCAGCCGAAGAAGACGCCGCCGCCGCAGCACTCTTCGGCCCCGGCCGGTACCGCGACGACCCGGCCGACACGGCGGGCTACCGCGACCAGGCCGAGGGCATGGACAACCAGCAGATCCACGCGTACCACTCGCAAATCATGCGCGACCAGGACGACCACCTGGACCGGCTGGGCGAGTCCATCGGGCGGCAGAGGGAGCTGAGCATGCAGATTGGCGACGAGCTCGACTCGCACGTCGCCATGCTGGACGAGGTGGACGAGGTCGTGGACCGGCACCAGGGCCGGCTCGACCGGGCGCGCCGGTCGCTGGGGAAGGTCGCGCGGGACGCTGGGGAGAATAAGCAGATGATGACGATTGTCGTGCTCATCATCATTCTGGTTTTGCTGATTGCAATTCTGAAATGATGAGCGAGGGTATGAAAGGATGAAAGGATGGGGAAGAGAGAAGCGGCAGCGGCAGCGGCAGCGGATGGGTCATAGTCATGGACGGGCAACCTCTCTTTGATTTTTGTCTGTTTCGTTGGGGTTTCCCTCTTTGGTTCGGGACCCGTCCTCGTCAGAGAGACAGGCGCGGGAGACATATAGGTACTTGTTTAAAGTCTTTCGAGTATAAGGCGCATAGCATGGTTTGGCGTTTTAGGAGTATTTCTTTCAATCAGAGTCAATCTCTTCGTCTATTATAGCAATCATTCTTTAGATATCTCTCGGACATGTATTTCGACGGGATTCGCGAAGAAAGCCTACGCGGCCCCAGGTGAAGTAGAAGGAGAAGGGCCAACGGAACTGAATGGTTGATCCACATTTCGGTAATTAATCACGATGAACGTTAATGCGCTCCTGCAACAGGTATGCATTTGATAATGCATGTTCGCGCTTGAAAGAGTTTCATCTTCATTTTGCCGTCGTTGAGCCTTCATATATGCACTTCGGCCCACTAAACCTCGAAGTCACCAAAATAGCTTCATCGTCGGTCTATTAGTCTAGTTGGTTAGGACGTCGGATTCTGATTCTCAGAACCTTCCGTAGGCCCAGGTTCGAATCCTGGATGGACCTCTTTCTCTTTTTGGCTTTTGAGAATGATCCCAATCTCGCGATAGTGATATCAGCATTCTTTTTGGGTTTATATTACAGGAGGAATATTTGATTTCGTTACTTTGATGATGACGCGGGAGTTCAGGCGGTACTGCTGTGATGGCTTCACTCTACAAGGCCTAGCCTCACTCTGTTACAATATGCCAGTCTTGGCCCCGACGCCATGTCGTTCTGCACATATTCAACATATAATTGCTTCCATAATCGACGTTCGACTGAGAACTATATTTGACGAGACTAACAGATGACAAGCCTCGTCGGGTCTTAGACAACGTTAACTTTAATAAACTCTTAGCTAGTAAAACAAACCCCCGCCTTCGCCCGTTTTCGAACAAAAAAGTCTAGCTCAACTTTTCTCTCACACACACTTACACACAACTTCTATATCCTCACAACAATAGCCTCCCGCACCAAACGATCCCGAACGCCCCCGACAGCAGCAGCATTCACAAACACAGTCCTCCCCGTACCCCTCCGTCCCCCATGCCACCACAGCACCCATCCCCAGACCAGGAAACACCAACCCAGAGCAAGCAAGGCCCTGAACCACGCCGTCACCACATTGCCTACACGACGACCGATGTTAACTCCAACACCACCACCACCACCACCGCTAGCAACCACGGCAAAAGCCTCGGCCTCCAACAAGACAACCTCCTCATACGCCGCCTGCAACCCGTCAAACGCGACCGCCTCCCGCCCGCGACCGCAGTGCACGTGCCCAAAGACGTGCAGACGCGGCCGCGCCCGCCAGACTTCGGCCAGGAGCAGTTCGCACCCCCAGTGGCCGCGCGGGTCGTCCATGTGGCCCTTTGGCGGCGCGTGGGTGACGAGGATGTCTGTCCCGGGAGGGATCGTGCCGCGCCAGGGGTCGGAAGTGGCGTTGTCGACGTCTGTCATGCGCAAGGAAGAGGAGGAGGAGGAGGAGCAATAGGGGGCAGCGCCGCCGGAGCGCGGGTACTGAAAGGCCCAGTTGCCGTGCCGCGACGTATACGGACTACCGTAGACGCGAATCTCGCGGTCAGCGTACGTCCTGTCCCCGTCGTTGAGACGGCGCGGGGGTATCGTGAGTGTCGTTGCTGTGCGGTTTAGGTAGATGATGTCGCCCCAGCCCAGAGGTGATCCGTCGTCGTCGTCGTCGTCGTCGTCGTCGTCTTCACCATCTCTGCGTGATATCGAGCTCCCCTCGTCGTCTCGTGACCGTCCGCCAAGCTTGATCCCCTTGCCATACCCCTTATCCAGACACAAATCGTGATTCCCCGCCACGATAACCTTGAACCGGTGAGGCTGCGCCCGAATCCACCCCAGCGCCTCCCGCAGCTCCCTCCTCGTGCCCGAGGCCGTGAGGTCGCCCGCGTGCACGAGGATGTCGCCCGGCGGCAGGCGCGGTTTGGTGTTGTGCGTGTCCGAGACGCAGACCACGGTCACAGCGTCGTCGTTTTTGTCGTTGCCGCTGCCGCTGCCGTACATCACGGGGTGCGAAACGGGGAAAAAGTCGTAGAGGTATCTCGCGACTGTCGAGAGGGGGCTGGAGAGGAGATGGGTTGCTATTCCGTCGTCTTCTGGGCGGTTGAGGATGGCGTCCAGGCCGGATGAGGAGCGGAAGATTGGCATGTTCGTCTATCTCTTTCGCTCACTCTTTTGCCCCTGTGCTGTTTTGAGTGATGTAAGATGCCATGTATCCTGAGTTTTTCTTCAACCGTAAGCCCTCTGATAGCACTTTTTCGAAGAATGGTGCCTGATTCGTGTAAGTCGCCAGGTGTCTTCAACGCTGCTTTGCCCCTGATGAGGTGAGACGGACGAAATCGTTATATATCTCTCCAGCGAAAAATGATGTGACGCAAAAATCGCGGACCAAAACCTGCGAGTCTGTATAGTCACTCTGACAAACGACAAGAAAGAAAACCAAACACAATCACGGAGGGCGGGTAAGTTCCCTCATAAGCGAGAAAACCTCAAGCCATCTCCGATGAGTCTTGCAAGGTGGTGAGAGAGTTCTTCTTGCACCACTCAGAAAGCCCCCGCGTGATTGCCCCTCCAATGGAAATGACATGATTGTGACAAAATCACCAGATCTGTGTGTTTTCTTCCCCCGTAACGTGGGTCAACTTTCTGACGAGACCTGGCAACGCCATTTGCGACGACACCGTAAAAATCGTAACGCGCTTTTGGGTGAACAGATGGACTGCTTGGCATTCTTTGCTCAAACATGCCGACCATCTGATCAACACAATTTTGAACACCTTGACGAGAACCTCACTTTTTACCCCAAAAGGGTCCTCTCATCTTTCGCTGCTCCATGGGAAATCAATACAGAGTTGCTAGTTTGAGTGGAACCCCTCAGACTGGGAAAGATAGTTGATAGAAACGGTGGATCACTACACATGAGCGTGCTCTACTATGCTTTGAACAAAAACAGATTCCAAAGGCCGTCATGGTAAAAAGAAGGCGGTTCATATCGCATTAATCGCAGTTACCAAATACCTCACCCTGGCCTGGATAAGCCCGAGTGATTCAAACATAACCGACATCACAATCAAGTCAAGTCAACTCTCTGTCAAGAATCTGGGTATGCATATTTCCTTTCCGATGAGAGACTAGGTATTTGTAAGATGGAGGAAAATAAAAGCGACAGCAACGACGACGCCGACAAAACACCACCCTCCG